AAATTTAATTTCTTGATAACATGTCATATTATTCCGTAATATTTATTAAGAACCGTGGATATTGTTAGTATTACTCTCAATAGGACAATAGAATCACTTTACTGCTTAACAAGGTCCCTGGATTTTGGCCCAAATTTGGCTCTGAATCGGGTCCAACCGAGGACCGTGTATGGGTGGATGGCGCGGTCTTCACAAGCTTGATCGATTGATACCGGTTTTTTTCTTTTCCATTGAAACCGAGTGCGGTCATTAACCAAACTAGGTTGGGATTACATGCATTTCATTAGAGATTATACATAAAAAAAGGATTTACCTTACAAATTTTAAAGGAGCGGTTCTTGTAGTGTTGGGCAAGAAAAATATATCAAAATTTTTGATGGCCATAGTTCATATCTCAGTCCACTAAAAATTAAACAAAGGGAAAAATAAATAAATAAATAAATAAATAGGTGCAACATCAAAACGTCACCTGATCCAAACCTCACAGCCACTTCACACGCACATCACTAATGATTGACTTTGATCTCGTTTCCAATTGGCTATCCGAAGTCCTGCCCTCGCTAGTCCGCCCTCCGTCTTATGTCATCCTCCAAACGCCACCGCCCTGCACCCTCCATGGTCGAAGAAAAGAAGCATACACTATTTCCTAATGCTTATATTCTCTCGAAACTTGCACCTATCATACCGGTTACAACAAGTGTGGAATGTATATCTACAATATGAAGTTAATAAAGATTGATATATGCAACTAAAAGTATGATCAATTTTTGAGTGATAGTTTAATGTCATGTATTCAATGTTATTTGTTCTCAAATTTCATTTTTTGTAATTAATCAAATACGTAAATGATAATCAAATTGAGCATTAGATTGTAGCGGAAAACCCCAATATTAGGAAAAACCGTTTTGAAAAACACTATATATTCGATGATAATTTCAAAAGGTTACAATGTTTGTTTTGGTGTGAAATGGAATAAGGTGATGATCAATAAAATATTTTTAATAACCCATATATATTCTAATTTATAAGGACTCCTAAAAACACTCAAATTCTAATTACCATATACCAAAATCATGGCAGCCAAGAAAAAAAGAAGAAAACACTCATGCAACCTTTGGTTCAAACCGTATTCAACAATATTTAATAGACTCCATATTGCTACGTAGTCTTTTGGATATGTGTTAGCTGGTTGTTGACAATATAATCTAATGAGAACTCGAAAATACAAACTACACAAGGGGAGACAAAAGCTAGGTTAGAAAGTTATACAGAGAGATGGTCCTCAGAATTGCTCCCCCATGTCTTCTCCTCGATACATTTTTTAGTTATTCTTTTTGTTCTTATCACTTCATTTTATTTGAACCAAAAGAAAAAAATGTCTTGCCCTATAACATCTATCCTTACATTGACCGTTACTCACGAACAACTAGACAAGATTTATTTGAAATACCATCTTATTGAGGAGGATGAAACTGTCATTCCTGGTGCTATTGTAATCATCGACCGTCCTCAATTCTACAAGATTGACTTCTATCTATATTATTTCGAGGTTGGTTTGTGGATTCCTCATTCCTGCTTCTTTGTCCAAATTATTGAAGCCTATAAGATCCATACCTGCCAACAAAAGCCTAACTTTATCTAAAAGATAATTTGCTTTGAATTGATATGTCAGGTTTTGTTGGTTGTTCCTAGTACTGTTGACTTGTTTCAATATTTCTTCCGATATGTAGCAATAGTGGTTTTATGTATTCTCTAGAGGATGAAGTTTTATTAAGGGTCTTCCGGAGTGGATAAAAAGATGGAAAAGAAATTTATTTGGTTGATTTCTTCTCGTTTTTCATATCATAACGTGTTTCATCTTCCTGGCAATTTTGATGATCAAAAAGTCGCTAGGACTTCTGACTTAGCGCATGATATAGGCAACATCTCTCATTTGAATATATCGATGAAGAAATTCCTAGAGGCAGTAGTAGGGCAAGTTAGTATGAGCCCTCACTGGATACATATGGATGCAGTTCCTTCGTTGTATTTTTGAGGGCTAGGTTATATTTTCATATTTCAGTATTTATTGCTTTTTCTTGCATAACAGTTATCTAACTAATTTGATTATGTTGTTATATGGGAGTCATCTGCCATTCTTATAACCATATTTTTGTTGAGATTTGGGTTTCTGATCTAGATTTGGGCTCTGATGACTTTGAATTCCATGTAATTGATGATATATTAAATGACAATGATGATGAAGGTAGTAATGCAGAGGACTATAAGGAAGACAAAGAGGAATCCGAGTCTTTCATTGAGGTTTATGATTCGTATGATACAAATGATGGTGCAAGCGAGATACAAATGATGGTGCAAGCGACAAAACCCTAGTGTTGTTGTTCCTCATGTTGTGGTGAATGATGATGATAATGATGATGATGATTGTTGGAACCTGAAAGTGAACCTCTAGCAATCTCTAATCTTTCATATTCCAAAGTCAGTTTCAGTTCCGGAATAGAATTTGGTCTGGAACCTTGTCTATGGTCAGATGTGGAGTTTGTGTCCAGAGTAGGGTGTATGTTCAAGTGAAGATGTTCCGAATGAAGATTATGTCTGAATCATTCTATCTGTCTATGCATTTATTATTCTTGTCATTTAGTTTGATGTAACAGTACATATGACTTAGTTTATTTTGTCAAAGTGGATAATCAGAGTGTCAGAAGTAACTCTTTTTTCCGTTCCTATGTATGTGTTTCAATTTGTACGATGTACTCTTTTCTCCTATTTAAGGAGTGTTTAATGCCAAGAATAGACAACGGATTGTTGCTCCAAAGATACATATATTTGCATTTACTTCATTTTCACTTTTCTCACAAGTAAATCTTCAAACATTCTAATGGTTCATTCATTGTCTTTACTTTGATTATTCTCATTACTCCATATTTAATACTTGAAGTACTTTGTTGATTCTCATCTTCAGTATCGACTGGTCATGCCAGACTTGACTGGAACTTATAATCAAAAGCAAACATTGATCTTAACCATAAACTCAACGTTTGAGTTTTCAAATCTTGTCCCTGCACAATCAGATCATTGTTCTCACAACTAGTATCAGAGTTTTAGTGGTTTTCCTTTGAATCCATAAGAACATATTATAGTTGATTCGAGATTACCTTGGTATTTCGATCGTTTCTGTGTTCAGTATAAAAGTTATTTTATGTACCACTTTTGCTTAAGATATCTTAACTTCAATGGTGGCTTCTAATTCTATATAAATGTACTCAATCCAAATGGCAAATAGCATGGAATGCCCAACACGTGCCCCACTGCTAGTTGTTGAAGAGTACGATCACTGGAAAGTCAGAATGGAAAGATTTTTACTTGGAAAATAAAAAGGTGAATCTATCTGGAGATTCGTTAAAGAAGGTCCTCATGTTCCAGTTCGAACCATTCTTATAGATGTTGCTGCAACTCTCGTGGGATTGGATGAACAACATCAAGCACCTCTCAGCGCTGATGACCTCGAAAAGCTGCATGCAGACCAAATTGCCTTTTCCTAAATGGTGTTTGGTGTTCCACATTCTCTCTTTGAGCACATCAAACTGTGCAAATCCGCAAAATAGATTTAAGACACACTTCAAGATTTGTTCGAGGAGTCAGAGAACATGAAGGATAAGTGTCTAACCTCTGTTGTCAACAAGTTCGACACTTTCTCTACAACACCTGGTGAATCTATTGCCTCAACCTCAAACAGATACTGAATCATTGTAACAACATGACTCCTCAGGAATAGTTCGGAACCCACTTGAATACAACCTCAAGTTCATTAACAGTCTCGAAAAAGGATGGGGAAATGTGAAACCATGTCTTCGGAGTAATGGATCTCTAAAGAAGCTGAAACTCTACCAACCTTTTGATGAAGTTCATGGTCATGAATCAAATGTTTCACAATCCCTACGTGATCTCACTGGAGGCCCTCTAGCTCTATTCAGCTCCTATGATCAACAAACTCCAAACCTCATTGCTTCGGATCCCTTCTCAGCTGTTGTTCCATATATCCCTCCTTTTCAACACTCACCTCCAACCATACCTGCTCCCACCAACAACTATTAATCAAATGGTGACCTTATTTATGAAGATATGGACTCCGAACTCCATTTCCAACAGGAGTTTGCCTTACTTTCCATGAAATGCAATCGTCCTTATAACAATCCGTATCACAACCATTTTCATTCTCCTCACCAAAATAATCCTCAACCTTTCAACAAACCTTCTAGAAAATCCTCTATCCTACAAACCTAACCTTTATTCACCAACTCACACTTTAGAATCTTCACAGACTCCAAAGTCATAAAAACCCAAGATTGTATGTCACAAATATGGTCATACAAACCACTTTACCAAGGATTGCTTACCCGAAGTCCCACAAAATCCTAATATCAAAGACTCAGTTTACTATGCACTTAGAGCTCAAGAAATGGCAGAGAGTCAAAAGGATTTTGTTTCCATTATATTAAGAGATGTGGAATGGTATTAGTCGTTGTGACAACCGTCAAATTCTGGTCAATTCAAAGTCAAATAAAGTCAACGAGTCAAACCGGTCAGCTCAACTAACCTTGTGTATTAGGGTTAGTGTTATGTTCGTATTGTATAACTTGCTATGTTAATGGGAAAACATCACAGGAGAAAAGTTTGTGTTAAAAATTTCCTAAGCCTTCATACTAATCAAGAACTAAACTGTGTTCGCATTTGGAATGAAAAATTTTGTGAATCGCATTTGATTAATTAGGTTAAAATGCGAAGGTGATTAATGCGAAGTTGGATTTAGCTTTGCTATAAGTTTCAATCGATTTTGAAATTGAGTATTGTTCGCATTTGTATGAGTGTAGTCGATGAATCGATAAAGCAAGAACATATGAGTTTTTGATTCGCAATTGGATTGATGATTGAGGGATGATTCGTGAAGAAAAACGCGAAGTCAAGGACTATAAAATTGTTGTTTGCAAGAATTTAAAAACTCGATTGTGGAGTTGTTGATGCTCATTTTGCGAAAGTAAAACAATCGAGTGTTCGCATCTATGAATCAATTTGAAGTCAATTGGGTTAATATTCGCATATGGGTTCAACATATGAAAATTTTGATTTCGCAAGTTTAGAGTTCAAGAACTAAACTGTGTTCGCATCTGGAATGAAAAATTTTGTGAATCGCATTTGATTAATTAGGTTAAAATGCGAAGGTGATTAATGCGAAGGGATGCGAAGGGTGTAAGAATGAAGATGCGAAGTATTTCACAGTAGAATGCGAATTGGGGAAGAAAACAGAAGATTTCAAATATTGTCCCTGGAGTTTCGCATTTTTGGAAATAAATACTCAACTTCGCAAATGGGGGTCATAAAATGATGAAATTGCAGAATTTTTAAAGAGATACACACACATAGACAACCACACATATATTTAGAAAATTAAACTAAAAATGGGATATAGACAATTATAAGACATTGTTCTTGACTTTTGAGTCCAAAGACGTATGATCCGAACTTTAATTGTGAAATCGTCCTTGATTGAGTCAATTTCCTTTATAGGAGTAATATATTCCATTGTGCCTTGCAAGTTAAAAAAAAAAAAAAAAAAATTCAAGTCACAAGCAACCACCCCACACCCACTCTATGACCAGCCATACCTCCCCACCTTACCTATGTCACTTCAATGTTCCCTTACACTCAAATTTCACTCACTCCCACGTTTTTGAGCTGGAACAATCAACCACACTCCTCATTTTCTCTCATTTCTCTCATTCCACTAAGTAACAAACATCACTTTTTCTCTCAAACTCTTCTACACAAATTTTCGAGATCCAAGGCTGGATTCAAGTGTTCTTCCACACTTAGTAAGTAAAAATTCATCCTCCCTATTATTATTTCACTTCATTCTACTCAAATCTTTGGTTGCTTACACAAACTCCCTAACTATGATGTTAGATTCTCGAAAACCTTCAAGGCATCTCCAAGTGTTCTTGAATTAAACACTTCCATTCTTCAACAATCATCTACTGAAATCACTCAAGGTGAGTTCATACCCCTACGTTTTCATGTTTTCTCAAGTTTTCAGGGGGAGAATACAAGTTAAAACACTAAGAACATAACTAAATTTCTCTAACAGCCTTCATCAGAAAAGTTCAACTCCATTCACGGACTGTTTTGGGCATCTTAAATATTTTTTTTTCAAAACTGTACAAGGTGCAAATAGTTCAAGTTTTTAGCTTTAAAATGGCTACTTGCACATCTCCATACGATTTTTCTACAATTTATGGCGATTTTTACAAAACTGCCTATCACTTCAAACAACAATCCGGACCAGTCTGTGATTATGGACTTTTTCACCCAAGTTAGAGGTCATTATAAATTGTGATAAAAATTATGAGCAAACTAGACACATTTTGTGAACTCTCAGAATTTACGGATCTAGTTTTCGACTTTGTATGATTTTTCTATGATTTTTCCGAAACAGGGCAGAATTGCTAAATTTTACCAACAGCATGTAAATATCATAACACTTTGTATTATGTTGAGCAAAGTGTATAATCATAAGTTTTAATGTTTGAATGTGTTTCCTAGTTAGTTTATCATTATGAACTGAAACTAAGACATTCATACTAAATATTATCCATTCATTTTGGAACACGTATTATTTAACTATAAAAAGTATAGTTTGAATATATTTATAACACTAATACATTTCCATAAAAGGGTTCATACATATTATACACATTTTAGATAAACTATAATAGGTATAGTTTATGATACATCACTCTACGCACTCGTACCAGAAGTGTACATTCATATAAGAAAGATTTCTATTCGCACACATTTCACGTAAGTTAATCTATGGTTTGATAAATTCACAACACTAATACATTTCCATAAAAGGATTCATACATATTACATACATTTTAGATAAACTATAATAGGTATAGTTTATGATACATCACTCTGCGCACTCGTACAAGAAGGGTACATTCATACAAGAAATATTTATATTCACACACATTTAACGTAAACTTGTTATCCTATATTGTGAGTTTCTCTATTTCTCTCTCTCTCTCTCTCTCTCTCTCTCTCTCTCTCCCCGTACGTCCGAGTGCGGGAATATAATTCCTGGTAGTTATAATCAGAATCTCCTTGAGGGAGAACGTGATACTTGTATATAGATCTATATTGGGATTGACACCCCACACCTTGCTGCTAGCTACAGTTGGACCTGCAGGTCTACGGGTGACAAATGTCATTTTATTTTTCGCGACACTGAGAACGTCGTGGCAGGTTCACATAGTCATAGTATGATTACAACGGCTCACATAGGGAACAATCCATAAGTTTACGGGATTTTATTT